CCGAAAATTCAGTTATTGTATTATCCTTTTATTATTAAAAGAAAAATGCTATTATTGAAATAGTTTATGTATTTTAATTTCATTGGTTTTATGATATTAGCTCGGATCTTATATTTGTCTTTGACCAAACAAAAAGACTTATATATTACCGAACACTATCTTCCTATAATATTTTACTTCTTATAAAAATACTTCGTTTAAATACTTATTGTATTCATCACAAATTTACAACAACACATGCATATAATGTGGAACTTGAAATTACCGTGGCACACAAACAAACATAAAACGTGTGTTCACACACTTATAAGCATAGAAGAAATCTGAGGTATAGAACTATTTAATTTAGGATCATTTGCAATAATAACCAAAAAAAACTATAATTAGGAATTTAGAAAAATTTTAGAAGAAAAGAAGAAGACTGATAAGACAAAGAAAATGAAGAAGACTAACATAAGAAGAGGAATACGAAGAATAGTTAATCAAAGAAGAAAAATTATAAAAGGAAAACAAAGACGATGAAGAAGAATAAAGAAAAGAAGAGGACATATAAAGTTTTGATAAAGAAGGAAGATAAAACGAACGAAAATGTTAGCATGATACAATGAAGAAGAAGGAAAATTGGAGCGTAAAGATGAAGAAAAACTTGTAGGAGAAGACGAGGACAGAGAAGAAGAATTAGAAAATAAGAGGAAGAGTAAGAAATGGAATAAAGAAAAACAACACGTAGACAAATGAAAATTTGAAAAGAAAAACAAAACGCAGACAAATGAAAATTCGAAAAAAAAAATAATCGAACAAGGACAAAGAAACTGCAAAAGGAAAGAAATTTAAAACATTTGACAGAAATTAACAATCTTCGAAGAAGCATAAAAAGCGTAAAAAGAACGAATAAGAACAAAAATAACTAGAAGAAGAGCACGCATACGAGAAAAAAAACAAAAAGAGAAGTCAGAGAAACTAGAAGAAAAAAAATTGATAAGGAAAATAAAATGATGTTTAACAAGACATAAATAAAAAGAAGAAGGAAAAAAACCGTAATAAAAATAAAATATTAATGAATGACAATAAAAGATAGATAAGTATTGACATTAAGAGAGTTTACAAATTGTATCTTATGCATATTAATGTTCTAGATGGATATAAGTTTAAATACTAACAATCTTACATATTTAATTTTTATAAATGAGAAAATTGAATTATTTAACAATAAACTAAAACTTATTTTATTTTTTAAAAATTATTTTCGTACACGATACGGATCAATCATATAGTTTTAAAGTAAAAAAAATATCTCTTATTTCATCTCAGTTAAGAACTTTTTTGTCAAGCACTGGAGCAAATTTTTTTTTAATAATTTCACCTAAATTAATCTCAGTTAAGAAATTAATATTTTTATACAGATTAATATATCAAAACCTATTAAACCATTTTTAAGACTTTAAGCACTACTCGAAATCGAGAAAAAACCCCATCAATATTTTAATACCGCTTTCATATTAATGACCTATCAACTATATATCGACTACATAATAGTAAGGTGCTAATTTATGGTACTGTATTAATACGTAATTCTTATGTACATATACCATTTAGAATAATTAAAACTTGTTTTAAGTATGCAAAGAAGTTTCCCAAAAAAAAAAAGCTGGATAAATAGAATCATTCACCAAATTCACCCTAAGTTAAATCTTTTTTTTTTTTTTTGCTAAAAGGCTTACTATTGATTATGAGGAATTGAGGGTTGAAAAGAACATTGATTTGTATTTTACCTAAGGTAATTTAAATTATATTTGGTAGGTTCTACTAGGATCAATGCATGGTCAGTGAACATTTTGGGATCTGGTAATCCGATCTTACATTTATCCGATTCAAATTATTCGATATTTTCGGATAAGGGTAATTGATAATACATTTTTGGATAATGATAATTTAGTTTAACGGACAGAGGTGAGGGTCTAATAG